CTTGAGGTTAGTGGACTTGAATCCCAAGACATCTTTCAAATATGTTGAGACATAGGATCCCTTGCCGTGCCCAACCTTTGCGTTGCTATTCTTCAAGGTTTCAATGTTTCTTGTCGCGGGCTGAAGCTGCTGCACGGTGAGCATGCTGGTGAGGCTGGCAGTGTAACTTTGGGTGATGACTAGTGCCACAAAGAGCCACACCACCATTGCCATTCTTGACAAATTGCTATGAAGTTTTTCCCCTGTGCTCAAAACAATAATAACCAACCAAAGTCACATTATTGTTAATTAGCTGAATAATCTTCTCCTAAACAATTTGAGGGTAGAAGGCTAGTATGAAACCTTAGCCAGTTTCCTATTTTTTTGTTTACATAAAACAGAGAGAAAAAAAAAATTGTTTTTATTTTTTAAAAACAAGATAAAAATCCAGTGGCAAAGCTGTTGGTGGTTGATGGAGGCGTCTAGTAGCAAAGCTAGAAAATTAATTTAGAGGGGGCAATCATTAATCACAACGTTGATTTTTTTTCCCCCCCTTATTTTTGTAATCAATAACAATAAAATGATAAAAAGTTTTTGAACTAATATTAATAAGAAAACTTATTCATTACAAATTTTTTAATGTAAACTTTTACAATTGATCATGGCCACTTATCATCTTTCAAAAATAAAAAATAAAATTCCCTAATCAAAATTCTTAATTTTAGCACAAACCATTACAAATCAAAACCCCTAACTCCAGCACAAGTTACTATTTTAAATAATTTTTTTTTGAGCATATCAAAATTTTTAATTTTAACACATAACTAGACATTAAAATTAAAATCAAAACATAGCATTTTTAGCACAAATATATATATATATATAAAATAAATAAAAATACAAAGTGAGGGGAATGAAAATTGTTTCACTGGAAGATTGCCAGGGGTCAGCTGGCCTACGACCAACGGTGGCCTGTAGCCAGAGATGGTAAGAAAGGGAGGAGAGAGTTGCCTGGGGTCAGCTAGCCTACGATCAACGGTGGCCCGTGGCTAGAGATGGTAAGAAAGGGAGGAGAGAGCATGAAAATCGTTCTGATTTTTTTTTTTTAAATGTGGAATTGATTCTATTTTTATGAAAATGAAAACAATAAAGAAAAATAGTTTTCGTTTCAAGATTTCCAAAAAAAATAAAATAAAATAAAATAGAAGGGATTATGTTGTGTGTCACTTACCATGCAAAGAGAAGAGTGTGGTGAAGGCTAACCAAAGCAAGGTCCCAATTTGATCCATGACAGAGCCTTGAAGTTCAGGGCAGTGATTTCTCTCTATTAACCACACAACAAAGCCATTGTATATATTGATAGCCATTATTAGAATCCACATGTCTGTTGTGAATGGTTTCATGAATAACAAAGCTCTGTTTGTTTGTGATTGAACTGGGACTATCATCACCAGTCCTGATTCTGTGTATGGCTCTGTGAATTCTGCATACTGATATCTCCTTGCTATTATTTTTACATCACCAACTACTCCACTGAAATTCTGCTCCAATGCATAGATAAATCCCAAAGTAAAAGCAAACGTTATCAGTTTATTTCTAGTCACAGAAAAGAGTTGGCCCAAAAGCTAAAGCAAGAGGAGAAGAAGACGAAAGAAGGCCTACTCTTTTGTACAATCCATTCATTTTGGTTAATTATTCAGTAATCCCGGTCTTATAACATTATGTATGTGGTGCTTCAAGTCAGTCACGTAGCAAAAAGACAAATGATAATTTACTTAATATGCGTTTCTATTTTCTCATTGGTCAGATAAATAATGCCACATGGCATTATGAGACTATTGAATAATTTTTCTTTATTTTGAGAGAGTCGTGTAATTGTCTAGTGTAATTTTTGTAACATTTCATCCTATATTGGCTTTGTAGGAAAAGTTTTTAAGTATTTTAAAACCGCTACAGTCCAGCTCAAAATAGACAGTATTGTTACGATTTGAGATAGAAGTATTGCAATTTGGTATTAGAGCAAACGAGGACATGTCGTTTTGCAATAAATCTATAAACATATTTTTTTAAAATTTTTTTGTATGTTTGAAGCATTTTTGAGACATCCTCTGGCATTATTACATCTATTAAGTTGAACTTAGTAAGAGGGATTTTTTTAAAAATTGTCTTGTCCTGAACCTTCAGTTTGGGCATTCATAACAAATTAGCAAAATCATTAATTTATTTAGAATAATTGGTCAAATTGAACAAAAATCTTTCTTGTAGACTAGTCAAAACTTGCAAAAATGATTTTATAAATAAATAGTAACTACTATTTTTTTTTTATTCACATTACTAGTCACCTAATTTTTTATTCTTAAACTATTTACACTTTTTCATTTTCTCTCATAAAAGTATTAAATGAATATTCTTAAATGAACCCAACTAAAATAAAGAGCATTATTGGAGTGTAATAAATTGAAAAAAACTGACAAGCTAAGATAGTAAAGTAAAATTTTAGTTCTTCCAGAAATACAAAAAAAAAAAAAAATTGAAACACAAATCTCTCGTTTGGATGTAGAACCACAAGAAGATATAGGATCCAGTTATACGAGAGAATTGTGTCTAATTCTGTGTTTTTAGACTTTTTGTAAAATTTAGAGATGTTGGAGATGATGCAAGAGAACAGAACAAAGCATGTAAGTACTAAATATTCTTACCTTCAAGTGAACTTGCTTCACCAAATCATCATAGGGACCATCAAATGGTACAAATTCATATGGAAAAGCATATGGCAAGAGTTCTATTGTTGCTTTGAAGACTTCAATTGAAAATCCAGTAAATGAAAATTGTTTTGTCCGATCATCGTACTCCACATTTACAAACTGTTTGAACGTTGATCCGGTGGGCACGCCAATTCTCAGCCGTTCGATCTCTGTGGAAACAGTCCATCCTTTTGGAGTATACCAAGGTCCCCCAGGCCAAAACACTTGCCCCAAAACCTGCATTGATGAATTGTAAAAAACTGTTTGATCGATTGCCTCTGAGAAGCCTCTTCCTTCTGTCCAAAACCCGAGTTCTCTGTAACTCTTTCCAATCACATTGACAATCTGGAATGTCTGCGATGGAGCTAATTTCCTTCCATTGAATTGAATTTTACCAGTCAAGCCATTGAAATCAGTTGATGAAATTTTTTGTATGATTTCTTGGCCCTCCGATTTACCTGCATCTCCCAATGCCAGAGCGACCGCCCACATGGCATCGTAGGCTTGGACTGCAAAAATCCCTGGTTCGTGGTTTTTTTCTTCAGGGTGGTTTATGCTGAATTTTTTTTTGAATTTCTTGCTGAATTCTTGGAAAGGTGGCCCGGTTTCAGGGAAGTAGGCCTTGATGCCAATTACACCCTGCATTGAGGAAATGGCAGAGGCGTCCAGGGAATAGATTAGACTTGTGATTGTGTCTGTGGTGATCCATACATAGTCCTTTGTCATCATTCCCATTTTCTTTGCTTTGGCAAAGAAATGGATTGCCAGTGGGAGAGAGACATGAACCATGAAGACTCTGCATTGCTCGCCTTTAAGCCTCTGGAGCTCTTCGGAGAATGAAGAGAATGGGAATGGTGGGAGAGCTATAAGCTGATCAATTTCAGCACCCACTTCGCGTAGGGCAGTTGATAAATGAGATATGACACCATTAGAAGCTGAGTTTGTCGTGTCCTCGTATATCAGAGTGACTCTGTGCCATTCCCATGACTGGACAATTGCAGCCACGGCTTTCATTTGTGAGCGTTGATTGGGCGAGGAGGAGGCTCGGATAAGGAATGGCCAACGCAGCGTTGCCCATTCCGGGGTTGAATCGGTGGCAAGAGAGAGAATGGGAATGTGAGCTTGGGTGCAAACATCGGCAACCAGTGATGATTCTTCCCATGAGTGAGCTCCTAGAATTGCTTGCACTTTCTTTGTCTTGATGAGGCTTCTAGCTGCATTCAACATGATGACAATTAGGCCACAAGAGTTATGTTTAGTGAATTTGATCCTCAAACTAACAAAATTTGAGTTTACATGATCCTAACAAGGAGAGTTAAAAAAGTATTTTCAGACTTTTTGCATGATAGGCCAAATTTTGCCGTCTTTAGTTCTTCTTTATTCTTAAAATTTGTGTTCAAAATTTTTACTTCTATAAAACATGAAAAGAAAATTCAAAAAATTCACTGAATACAAAAAAATAAATAATAAAAATAATCCACATCAACTTGTGTGAACTTTCTAATAACAAACAAGCCAGCTTTTCTTAACATTAATCAATGTATAAATTTTTTGAGCAATTAATTTTATCTAATTTTTTTTTTTTTTAAAAAAAAAAAAAAAAAAAAGCAATTATGAAACCCATCCTAACTTCTTCTTTTAGCTTGGGGGGTTTCCTCAATTTAGACCTGTTCACCGGCTGTGGCCATTGCCCGAAGCTCAAAGATAAGCTAATAACATATTGAATTACATATATTATATATATATATATAACCTGCAGAGCTGCCTGAATGGGTTCCACTTTGCTTGCTAATCATTGGAATTGAAGACGAAGAAGCAAGCTTTGATTGGTGGTGGTTTGAGTATTGAAATCATGAATTGCATCTCCATTGGCCACTTTGGCCTCTTTACCCATCCTAAACTGCTGTTATCTACTATGGCACTATATTCCCACTTTCAGTCTTTGGCGTTGCTGATTCTGTAAACACACACAAGACTAGTAAAAATGCAATGCTGTGAGATAGAAGAAACAGGGATAAGGACCAAGTTCCTTTTTCATTTTTGGAAAGATGGTCATGTAAAGCAGCCACACACACCTTGTGTAATGTAATATATGAAAAGGAAAAATTGATATTGAAAAACGTGTTGATTCCAGTTTGGTCAAGATCAATACCAAAATTGTGGCATTTCTTACCCAACTGTTTCCAAGAAATTCAGGGCATTCTAATTCCTTTCTTCGTTTATTGGAATTTCAGAGGAAAGTGCAGCTATAATTAATTAATATCCAGGGAGCTTGGGTATATTAAACGATAATAATGATAGAGACTCTCACAAAATACAATTCTCACAATGTTGAAAATGATTTGAACCATTCATGTCACTGTCAACACAACTCCAAAAAATTCAAATACATCAATAGTTAATACATCAGTAGAAGTTATGAAGTCCTTCTTTGTGGGGGTTCCAACATTTTCTATAAACAATTTGCTTTTCCTTTTTTTTTAATAATATTTTATAGGAAATTCTAATATTGTACGCATTTAAAAGGGTGTATCATATACCTCTTGTTATACTATTTTCTTCTTTAGTGCCATTTTGAGAACATAGTAAAAAGCCACGTTTTTGGACAAAATGTCCAAAACGCAACAAAATCCCTTTGGGGAACAAAAACGCAGCCCTAAAAATTACAAATTAGGCTATGAAAAAAAATAAAAAAAAATAAATCTCTTATGTTGGGTAAGGATATTTTGGTCATTTTAATTTGATTTGACACCATAAATATATTAAACTAAAAATCAAAAAGTCAACTTTTTTACCAACTTTCCAAATCACTTCCAAAAAATCAAAAAGCTTGGTAAAAACCAAAAGTCAACTTTTTATCAACTTTCCAAAACAACCCTTAGTTGTGATATTATTTTAGTTATGACTAAGATTTTAGTTATGCCTCATATTGTTGTAGTTATGGCATTTGATCAGAAAGTATAAAATAATATCATATTTTTCTATAACTATAAGATGCCATATGGTATGTACTATTTTCTGTGTATCTAAATCACACTACTTAATCCCGAATTACCCTCACTTCCTTGCAGCTACCTCCCAAATCCTCTCCCCTCCACCACTCCTCCTCCAACCCCCTTGCCTTCTATCGCCCCTCCTCATCCTTCTTCTTAGGGTTTTAGAGTGTGATAAGAGAGTTGGCTATGAGAATTGCGAGAGTAAGAATGGTGGAGGTGGCACGCAGTAGGGAAGAGGTCAAATCACCTTGGTGGGGGCTAATTGTGAAGGCTTGGTGTTTGGAGAAAGGTGTGTGCCATTTGTATCAAATGATATTTGATTGAGGTAAATAAAAATTAATTTTTATAAATAAAAAAAATAGTGTGACTATAAGAAGAAATATAAGTGTTCAAATAGCAATTCATAAGATGAGTCCATTTTAATAATTTTTTTTAGGAATAAATACAATGACTACCTTCGAGGTTCTGAGTTCTACAACTGGTCTAATACAATCACTCTTCTTTTATTTACACGTATACTAGAAAATTTATTAGAAAATTAACCACTCTATTGGTTTGGAGTTTTAAAAGAATTTCGTATTTTATTTTCAGTAGATATCTAAAATAATAAAAAAAATTATCAATGTTTATTTAGTTTTTAGATTTTACCCCGTTTGATAACTTCATATTTTAGCCAAAAAATTATTATAAGTCGTCATATAATTTTTTTACCTTTTTTGCATATTTTTTTTTATAAAAAGTCAAAAAATTATTAAAATAATCTATCCTCAAACGAGGGTAATTATATTTTAAAAGTACGAAGTTTGTACGAAAAAATTTCAAAAATTCATTTCATTTCCAAATAAACAAAAATTTCTTATTAATATACAACATCAATTGGAAGTTTTTAGAAGAAAAAATAAAAAGATAATTTTTTTTTAAACTTTTTGGAAAATTTCATATTTTTAATTCTACTTGATTAAATGACATAAACATTTAAATTTATTTATTTTTTAAAAAGCTAATATTTTAGCTTTTTGGCTTCTTCTGTTTTTTTTTTTTTTTTGTAGTTAATTTTTTTTAATTTTTTAAAATTTGTTTACACAAGACAAACTCGAAAGTGAAAAAAAAAAAATTTACTTTGAAAAAATATCACTAATAACAAAAATAAAAATATCGTAACACAACGCTAGCTATCTCTAAAAGTTTAGACAAAACGGATGTTTGGTAACATTTACGTTTTATGTTTTCTGTTTATATTTATATTTTAAAAACACAACATAAAAATTGTTTGGTAAAAATTTTGATAAATCAGTGCTCTCAGTTTATAATTGGTCAAAAAATAAAAACACAAAAAATGTGTTTCCATTTTGAGTTTTCCAGTTTTTTTTTTTTACCACCCAACACAGCCACCACTTGCCACAATTTTCCACCATTGTCCTTTTCGCCACCACC